TCTCAGGCTGACTTTCCCATATATTATTCCAGTGTTCCTCAGTTACCCCAGGTGCAAACGAAGTGCAATTAAAGTTGCAAGTTGTTGTTTTTTTGCAACTTATTTCCTCCTCAAGTCAACTTTATTGTCAAATCCTCTTTACCTCCTCTTTACTCAAGTAGAAGTACAGATACTTCTGTAAAAATAAGACTCCAGTAAAAGTGCTGAGTCACCTTCTTTACTCAAGTAAGAGTAAGAAAGTACAGGTAAAATGTACAAAAGTAAAACAGAAAGTAGTCTGTAGTAGTAGTCCTGCTTTCACTGGAAGGTAATTTCTACTGACTCTTTCTGTGCAAAGCAATATTCAATAATTCCCCTATATTGCATTGAAAGTAATTTAAGGAGTCTGTTTTGAGAATCAGTAGAAAGTACAGATGTATGTGTTAAAATGTAGGCGGCAAAAGTAAAGAGACAAATGAGTACTAAAGTACAGATGACAAAACTACTTAAATACAGTAACTAAGTATTTGCACTTCCCACTTCTGCCAGTGAAGAAAAACGGGGATAAATACAGTTGTTGTTTTTTTTGTGTCCAGGAAAGGTTCGGGTGTCTCAGTGTAGATCTTTCGTTTTACACCTGCAGGTATTTCCCCAGATTTGATTCGAGTACTGATCCTCTTGTTCTCTCTCTCTCTTTCAGCCCAGCAGTGACGTCGTACACCAGCCAGGTGGCCTTTCCTCCTCTGGCCCAGTCCACTGTGTACTCGGCCTTCCCTCAGACAGGCCAGACCTACGGCCTCCCGCCCTTTGGTTAGTTCCCCACTCCTTCTCTAACAGCCTCATTTATTTCTGCTCACTAAAATACCCAGCAGCGCACCTTTTTGTTACTTCGCTTTAGAGGCCTTACTGTGCTTTGGTGCTGTGGAATCGATTTTTTTGCTTTTTAATCTCTGCTTAAAACACAAAGTCCGACATCTTGACTGAAGGACCTGGTTTCTAAACTTCTGCGCCATCCTCAATGACCCACTCCTCTCGCCTCCTTTCATTCTCTGCTTCCATTGCTCTCTTTCATCTTCAGGTGCTATGTGGCCAGGCATTAAAACAGAGACAGGGCTGCCTGAGGCTCCCTCTGGTGGCCAGCCTGGGTTTCTCAGCTTCAGCACCGCATATACCTCAAACCAGCCAGGCCATCTGCACTACTCATACCCCAGCCAAGGCAAGCTGCAACCTCACTCTTTCTCACGAGATAACGCTGTCCAAATGAGAAGCACTTTAAAAAAAAACAGGAGATCTTGCAGTGGCACAGCTCTGTTCCCCCCCCCCCC